AAACCAACATCCAACTGACAGCTCTGCAGGTGGTGCATGGCAGGGTGAGCAATGCAGGGGCTGTCCCAGCCTGTTGGGCAGTGTTGGGCAGGAAGCAGTACCTAGCCTGTATTTGCTGATCAGTGTGTGGTGCCTGTCAATGCCACCAAGAACCCTGTCTCACCCTGCACATTAATCTCAGGGAGGAAGTGTGGCAAGATGCTCAGTTTGGCCACGCCTCAGCAGATGCTTGCCGACGTGGCAGGAGCAAAGTTTGCACTGGGACATCTCTTGGGAGCAAATGAATCTTTGATGAGTTGTTGTTTTTTTTAAAAACACCTAATGATCAAAAGAAGAGAAACTATCTTGCCACTTTTCTTCAAGTACCAGAGTGTCTCGTGACTGCTTCTGCCTTGCGTGTGGGGTAGTCAAGTTGGAGCCAGGATTTAACTTGGAGGCTGCACCCAAAGAGAGCATGGGGTGCAGGTGTGTGACCTCCGGGCTCACTGGTCTGCACATCCAGTAACGCCAGGCACCTGTCGGTTCCCCTGTGCTCCCTTGGGATGTGCTGTTCAAGTCTCCACAAAGATTTCTGTTTGCAGGAAACCAAAAATCTTAGAGATGTTGCTGTGTTCAGTCTGCTCCCTAGTTGGTGTAAAGAGCTTGTAAGTATCTTGTTACTTGTTCTCACTGTAGGAACTGAAGGAAATTGAGTGTGATGTCCCTGGGCTTCTGCAGTGAGTGTAACAACATGGCCAAACCAGCCTGAAAAAACTGAGACAGAAAGAAAAGGTCAGTGATAACTAAACCATTACACCTAATAACTACCCCACAGTGTTACAGTCTTCTTACAGGAACCTCCATTGACTGTAAAGAAGGGACTCGGTTCAGTGCCCATCAGCTGTCTCTAATGCAGATGTTTACATCTCCTGTTGGTGGGACACGTAGTCAATACAGAAGAGCAGTACATCTGATCCAATGCAGGTTAGGACAAATGTGCCTTAAGACAAGAGACACTGCTTTCCAGACTCTGCTGACCGTATTGGTGAAACTCCTTTTAACTATAAGGAGAGCATGGGGACATTACTCAGTGGTAGAGTCTGATGCTGTATAACTACTCCCACTCCTGAAACTTAGAGCAAAGCAGATGGAATCTCAGCCTACACATCCATGTTTCATTGACAGCAATAGTTTTTATAGCCTCTGTTTAAAGTAAGCCTTACAAGACTAAGCATAAAATAAAGGTGTCCGGAGGTGTGAGACAGTTCTCGCCAGAGAAGTTTCATATGACATAGTGGTAACTACAACAAATTCCCTCATGGGTTACTGTGACCATGTCTGTGTTTTCTCCTAATGCCTCATTGCCAGAGTGCCGTTAGTGGTGTGGGCCATGAAGTTCTGGCCTCTTATTTTGTAGTCATTTCTCAAAGAGTCTCTTTTTTGTGCTAGTAGGAAATGCAGGCTCTCCATTTTAGAATATCTTCTGATTCTGAAAGTTCGAAGTCTAGTTGTCCCCAAAACGTTGACATGAGAGGTGCCCACAGTCATTAGAAAACAATCTTTGTGGTTTTGCACAGGAAAAGTGGGCTAGAAGAAGGGCTGTCTCAGCGCTGGTAGTTTGAGGGCATGGCATGGGGAAGGCTGTTTGCAGCAGGCAGGCACACCCTCAGGGTGGCTCTTGCAGTCCCTTTACGCTTGAATTGGGAGCTGAGCCTGCATGTGGGGTCCACCCAGACCCTTGATGAAGCCCAGCTTAATTCTTCAGCTTCTGGACATGTGGTATCTGACACCAGCAGAATTAAAGGGGATGAACAGGAAATGTTTATGTGCTAAGGCAGAAGCTCACAGCGATTGCAAACTAGATATTGATCTTCTACTGGTGAGCTAACGAATTAGAGTAGCCTACAGAGATATGTGACAGTTTCCTCATCTCTTCATGTGTCTGTCCAGTCATGACTTTTTATCTACCCTGTTGAGGGATACAGAAATGAGCAGAAAACATTGCACATAATCCCAATAGACCATAGTTTTCTGCCTTCCTATCCTAATGTTTTCTTTCTCTTCTTCTGAGACTTAAATGTATTCAGCAGGGGCCTTTAAAATGAAGTCTCTTGCGCCGAATATGAGTCACTATGCCAGCCCACCCAGCTCCTTGCCACTGAGCTGTTACTGCACCCATCTGCACAGCACCAGAGACTTCATCCTACTCTGTGGGCTGATGTGCTCCACAGCTGGTTCTTCACTGATGCACTGGTGTGCAGTAGCCGAGGGTTACCAAAATGATTGGGACTGGAACACCTGGTGTATGAGAAGTTGCTGAGAATTGGGTTTGTGCAGCTTCAACAAGAGAGATCTCAAGGGGGTATCTAATGAGGCGTAAAGTTGAAACAAACAACTTTCCTCAGAGGAATTAAAGGCAATGGCCATGGGAAATTGTTACTCACTACATGGGAAAAAAAAATTCCCTGTGAGGGTGGTCAAACACCACGACAGGGCTTCAGGGAGGTTGTGGGATCTCCATCCCTGGAGATACTTGAAATCTGGCCCTGCTCTGAGCAAGGGTTTGGACAAGAGATCTCAAGAAGTCTTGTCCTAACTTTGTGACTCTGCGACAAAGCTGGACCGAGGCCACGATGTCTCTGCAGTGTCCCAGCTGCTTCTCTGCCATGTAAGCTCCTGTTTCACACATGTCTTTCCTGGTGTGACAAGCAGAAGTCCTATCATGCACAGAGGAAAGAAAGTGGTTGATGCCTGCTCGTATCCCATTAGCATCTTTGCTGACTGTGCAGGCATCGAGAGAGGGCTGCTTGGTGGGCCTTACCTAGACTGTGTGTGCTGTGTGAAATTCCTGGTCTGGAGAGAGGGAGCACACCTTGGCTTGCTCTCCTCTCTGAGAGCCTCCAGCTGTGCTCCCTTTCCCATGCTCGCTCCCTTAATTAATGTCTGGACAGTTTGTTCCTCTGGAGAGTTTCTATGTGTGTCCATACAAGCCAGTATGCTCTGTTGGGTGCAGGAAGGGAAAGTAGTAGCAGAAAGGCTACCCACCACAGGGTAGCCCTCAGGTCTGAAGTTTTTTCCTGAAGTACCTTTTCAGTCAGGTAATCTCCTCTGGCTCATTGATGGAAATAATTTATTTCTACAGGCTGCAGACTCCAAAGGACTCTCAAAAGCCACCTCATGCCAGATGGGCATAATGTGATGAAATTGTATTCCACCTTAAAGTGAGGAAACTTAAGCTCTGCCCATTTTCCATCCTTCCCTGCCAGGTACTCTCCATCATCGTTGTGAAGCCCACCATAGCGTACGCCATAGTCGTCTCACTGTCAGCTTCAACCCAATTTTCTCTCTTGTGCTTATGATAAATGTCCACCTCAGGAATGAAGTTAACTGGAGAGCGTAGAGGACACTGGAGGAGGACTGCAGGGCTGTGTATTCCTGCCACCAGACATTTTCCTTTGCTGAGCACAGGATATAGTAGATTCAGTTCTGCTTCTCATGGAGCTGCTCAACCACTTTGCTCTCTCTCCAGATTTCCCCAGCAGTTTTACACCCTGTTCCACACAAAGACTTCTGCTTTTCATCACATTTATAGCTATCTCAAAGACAATAGTCTGCAGGACCAGAACAGAACCCCTATTTCTCAACCCAGCTATTCTTACCAACCAACCACATGTGCTATGTGTAATACACAGGGAAGTGAAATTATGAGAGATACACAAACTCCTCTCAGCAACAGAAGTTGCATTTCAACCTTTAAGCAGCACTGGCATCAGGCTGGATGACACAAGAGCCAAATCCTTTTCATTCATCTGATTTTGCCAGTTATCACCCTTGGTGCTTTAGCCTTGGTGCTTTCCTGCCAAGAAAACGTGTTTTGCCTCTCTGTGATGCCTCTGCCATTACCAAATGAAAAGAAGTTGAAAAAAATAACCAAACCGAGACCTCTGCGAGAGGGTCACACTTCAGATTTGCACAATACGCTGATAGAAGTACGTAAGTGTCAGAAAGATTTTCACACCTTAGTCAGCATTTCTGGGTGAGGCCGAGTTACACGCTCTTCTTCAGCAAGCAAAGCCCATTTTCAGCGCACACCGAATGGGACAGAGCTGCTCACTGGTGATTCAGCTGGCCCAGGGAAGCTGTAGGCTTTGTGGGAAGCCTTGTGAAACCCTACATGCGCATTATGCCTTTCTCACTCTTCGATCTGAGCCGCCACCACCCTATCCAAATATAAACACCATTGCTCTTGTGTGTTTGCGACTACACCCATCTGCTTCTCACCAGCTGGTGATTCTTGGCAAGACCATAGAGATGTCCTCAAGTACCCCCAAATGAAATGTCATAGCTGCTGGTGACACTTCTAATATAGACACACCCCCAAAAAAAGAGATTTAAGGGAATTAACCAGAACTGTGTGGTAACTAACAGGAGAGATGTGAGTCTTAATAGCACTCTGGGTGAAACTTCAAACCAGCCTGGCGCCAAGCAGCTACCATGCAATCACAAGGCTGCCATGGACAACTTTAATCACAGTTTGGATGATACCCAAAACAAAACTTAGACTTATGGGCAATGCACTGACCAGAGATGGGGCCTGGTTTCTAGTCTTACACCCAACTGGTTCCTATAATTCACTTAGCTTATCTTTCAAAGCAGGGCAGTTCCGTCCCTTGGGGACAGTCTGGAGTTGCTTGG